AAGGAGATCAGTCCTGGGTGTTCATTGGAAGGACTGATGCTGAAGCTGAAACTCCAATACTTTGGCCATCTCATGTGAAGAGTTGATTCGTTGGAAAAGACCCTGATGCTGGGAGGGATTGGGGGCAGGAGGAGAAGGGGACGACAGGATGAGATGGCTGGATGGCATCACCGACTCGATGGGCATGAGTTTGAGTAAACTCCGGGAGTTAGTGATGGACAGGGAGGCCTCGCGTGCCGCGATTCATGGGGTCACAAAGAGTCGGACATGACTGAGCGACTGAACTGAACTGAACTGAACCTTTGTCAGCAAAGTTATGTCTCTGCTTTTTAATATGCTGTCTAGCTTTGTCCTAGCTTTTCTTCCAAGGAGCAAGCATCTTTAATTCATGCCTGCCGTCACCATCCACAGTGATTTTGGAGTCCAAGAAAATAAAGTCTGTTAGTGTTTCCATTTTTTCCCCATCTATTTGCCATGAAGTGACAGACCTGATGCCATGTTCGTAGTTTTTTAAATGTTGAGTTTTAAGCCTTCTCTTTCACTCTCTTCATCAAGAAAGTCTTTAGTTCCTCTTCACTTTCTGCCTTCAGGGTGGTATCTGCATATCTGAGGTTACTGATATTTCTCCCTGCAATATTGATTTCAGCTTGAATTTCACCCAATCCGGCATTTCATATCATGTATTCTGCCTATAAGTTAAATAAGCAGGGTGACAATATACATCCTTGATGTACTCTTTTCCCAATTTTGAACTAGCCCATTGTTCCATGTCTAATTCTATCTGTTGTTTCTTGACCTGAGAAATACCCTACAGAAAATAGGCAGTTTAACTAAACGCATGCCTGGTACCAAGACTTCATCTGTCACTTAACTCTAAAATACTGGCAACCAGGCCCCTTTTTTCTAGTAAAGAATAGGAAGAGGCTTCCCTGGGGAATGTGACCAGTCTAAGAGGAGAGATCGAAGGAGCCTCAGTGAAACTGACTCAACCAACCAGGTCATCCTTCAGTGAAGTACACAGGGTCAAAGTACATAGGCCCTTGCAACTTCAAATGACTTTTAAAGTTTCCCAATCCTAAATTTTAAGAAGATAACCAAGGATTGCCAAATAACAGAAACACCTCTAGTGTGAAAGCTATAATCCAAAGTAAACAAACAAAATGGCAGATAAGAGAAAACAGAGAAGTCAACTAAAACCAAAATCAATCAAATTGTTAATATGCTGTGGTCTATGCTTAGTTGATCAGTCATGTCTGTGACCATATGGACTGTGGCCCACTAGGCTCCTCTGCTCATGGGGATTCTCCAGGCAAGAATATTGGAGTGGGTTGCCATGCTCTCCTCCAGGGGATCTTCCCAACCCAGGGATCGAACCCAGGTCTCCCACATTGCAGGCAGATTCTTTACCATCCAGGCCACCAGGGAAGCCCAAGAATACTGGAGTGGGTAGCCTATCCCTTCTCCAGGAGATCGTCCTGACTCAGGAATCAAACTGGGGTCTCCTGCATTGCAGGTGGATTCTTTACCTGCTGAGCTTCCAGGGAAGCCCTTATTATACTATATCCAAAATATAGTAAATATAGCCCTTATTAATACTATATACAGAATAAGAAATAGCAAGCATGACACAAAACAAGGAGAAAAGAGTATTCAAAAATGAAAAGGAGTTATTGAAAATTAAAACTATGATAACAGAAATGAAAAAAAGCTCAGAGCAAGGTTAGACTAATGACATTCTAGCTGCCTCTGAAGACCTGAGAGGAGATTTGACTGGAAGACATAGATAGCAGTAGGGATTGCGAGGTACAAACTAGCATGTATAAAATAAACTGAGACTTCCTTGGCCAGTGGTTAGGACTCATCACTTCTACTGCAGGGTGCATGTGTTTGATCCCTGCTTTGGGAACTAAAATCTTACAAGCCATGCAGCACAGTCCAAAACAAATAAGTTACAAGGATATATTGTACCGTACAGGGAATATACCCAATATTTTATAATAACTAAATAAAATATAATCTATGAAAATGTGAATCACTATGCCGTACACCTCAAACTTAGTAATATTGTACATGAACAATACCTCAATAAAGAAAAAAGAGACCTAGAGTTTGGGAGTTGAGCTAATGATAGATACAAATAAAGGTAAGCCAATATAACAATTATGCAGTTACTGGCTCTAGGGAAAATAAAATCTTGCATAAGAGAAGAAAGTAATTGTATTTATGGCTATGCAAATACTGAGTATTGAACTTAAAAAGTATATGTAATTACATTGAAAGGATGGGTTTTAGGGAAAGTTGCCATGTGTGATGAGATACAGGAGAAGGAAATAGAACTTAATCCTTAATTTCCACTGTGGAAAACAACATCAGGAACAATACAAGCCTGACACTTTAAACCGTGGGAGAAAATATCAATTCTTTTTTTTGGTCATATCTCACAGCTTCTGAGATCTCAGTTCCCAGACTAGGGATTGAATCCAGGCAATGGCACTGAAAGTACCAACCTAACAGGTAGGCTACCAGGGAACTTCCTAGGATTGGTTTTTAAATTTAATTAAATTATGTATTGGCTGCGCTGGGTCTTTGTGCTGCACAGGGGCTTTCTCTAGTTGCAGCAAGCGGGGGCTACAGTCCAGCTGTGCTCAGGCTTCTCATTTCAGTGGCTTCTACGTTGGAG